TAACTACGCACTTCAGCTTCTGTCTGTGTCGTGCTTGAACGCAATTTCGCTACGCTGCTTCCTATTGCAATAATATCAATAATGTAAATGTTCTTTTTGAACAGGCACGATTATTGTGCCAAGCGATCTGTGGCCGTAAATGTCAATTGGAAGTAAAAATGTAATTAAAATTTTATTTACGAAGTCAACATATTAGCTGAGGCCCAGTGGCGCAGTGGCTAGCGCATCGCGCAGCAGCACCACAGGTCCGGGGATCGATTCCCGGGCTGGGCAAGGTCGACTCAGCCTTTCATTCCTTGATTTCCAGCATTTGGGTCGATAAAATGAATACCTAGTTCGCTTGGGGACTAAACACTGGGGTCTTGCGACAAGCTGACCACTTGTTCAGGGAATATGCTTACTCACACCGGGGCCCACGATCAAGAAAGCATATTTCGGGCACTGCAGGCCTTGGCCCGTTAGGGCTGTTACGCCACTGAGTTTAGTTTTTTCAACAAATTAGCTTACGACGCAATCAGAATACATTCCTCTTCGATATAGGATAACTACGCATCAACAGTGCTCCGTCGTTTCCCTTCCTATATATATACATATTTTTTCTACTTAGTATGGATTTTGATTTTTATTTTACATCGCTCGGAATCTTAATAGCCTTTGACACCTTAATGTGTTTTTCAGCGGACGCGTCGGGAAAAGAGACAGAGCAGTGGAGCTACTAAAAAGGATTTATTCCAAAAGAATTTTTTCGGAAATACTAATATACTTTTGTAAAAAGTTTTTTTCGCATTAAACAAGAGCTTCAATGGTCTGTTTCGGCGAAAACGCGTAATGGTATTTAGCCTATTTCGTAGATCAGTTTTTTTTTTCCCTTGAAAAGCCAACTGAGAGTACGAGTGGGCTAATATACCATTTTTCCGCTATTTAATTATTGTTTTTGTAGCTAGTTTTTGATGCTTTTGTGTCTTTTTATTATTTTTCTTTTTTTTTTGATTTTTAATTTTGATTTCAATTGGCATATTATGTATTGGCATATTATATACTGGCAATTTTAATTTTTTTTTTTTATGTATAAGGCATTTTATATATTGACATTTATAATCCATGTTTTTGTAACTTCCTGATATATATATATATTTTTTCCGTCCATCTTTTTTTTCATGTGAGTTAACTTTTCACATTACACAACGGTCAGATTAATTAATTTTTTTCGTGCAATAGCAAGTCTTCCAGCACTAAAATTTGGCAATTTTATCGCGCTTATACAGTTTTTCCAGTTTTACCAGGCAAATTTCTTATTGTCTATGTAGTACTATGTTACAACATTTCGTGGAGCTACAGCTCCTGGTAACTTTTTAGCAAGGTTGCTGCAATGTTCCTACCTACTACTATTCTTTCAAATCTTTTTGCAGCATTATGCGCAAAAGTTTTTGAGACCAGATAGGTCTTTCGTCTAATTACCAGTTCGCTTTACATTTTCTTTTTCAATTAATATATATTATACATAGATAGATAGATAGTAAGGCGCCAAAGACACGTCGAGGTAGTTATGGTCATTATGGGTTTATTAGAAATATTATTTTTAGCATTTTGGGAGACAATAGGTTAGCGGCAATTTCAGTCTCATAATGGAAGGAAGAACAAAACATGTGCTCAGCACTCATTAATCAACCGAGTTTAGTGTTTTAACTACTTACTCCTAGGAAAGTTCTATTTGAAGCATTAAGCAGAGAGTGATTAAAAGTTTTTATTTAGTTATAATACTCTCATATATATCTTACTCACATTTTTTACAAATTCGTCTATCTATTCACAGTTGCCCTTTGAAGCAAAATGTTTTCGAGGTGTAATATTAAATTTCATAATTTCGTATTTAACACCAATTAAGAGGCAGTGTTAATAACCTAAACAATCTTTCCTAGTATGGAATAATCTTTTCAATAAGAAATTCTAAATAACATTTGTTAATTTCTTAAAATTTCATTTCTTTGCTGTTCAAGCGAAGGAATTTATTAATATGATTTATTAATTATATATATTTCACTTGTTGTTATGCAGGTTGTATTTCTGGCGTTGAATTGAAGAGCGGCGCAGACACAAATTTGTTATGTTTTTTAAGTGTGCGTTTGGAGCTTCAAGGTTGCTTGGAATTACTCATGTTCCAACGAAGTAGAGGTTCTTTGAGTTGCGCTTCTGAAGTTAGAGGTTTGCCATGTTCTGTCGCCGTTCCTCAGCCAACGGGATGTTTAAAAGACCAGTAAAGAGATTCGCTCAACATTAACTCTGAAGTTATTGGAGTTCTAATATGGTTATCGCAAGTCACCTTACAGTCCACTTTACATGAGCAACGGAATATACAGTATATAATATATACATAGAGAGAGGGGAATAAAAGTAACAATTTTAAAAACATAAGAAACTAGTTTCAAATTTAAATTCATGTTTCATTGAAAGAGTAAGACTTAAGGAACTAACACTATTGATAGAATGATATTAGTTCAATTCGTTTCAAAATTTAATGATATTTTTCCACACCAAAATTGTATTTCTCAAGTCATTTATCATTCATATTTAAAGTAAACATTTCATTTGAAATAATCACACATATGCACACATATATGTGAGAAAATTAAAGCAGACAGAAACAGAAATGTTTCCGTATTACTAATTGATTCTTTTTTACTTTGAGTACATACAGCCTCCCCGTGCACTACGAATGTACAACAACAGGCTTACAAAAATAATTTAATTAAGACATTAAATATTACATGCATAAATAAAACGAACAAAAACCGAGAACCAGCAGTCTGGACATTATGAAAACAGATATGTGCACAGTCCAAGTCACGCCAAGCTTTTTCAAATCGTTCCACAGTTGTATAATCTATGACCATAGAAGGTAGAACAGGAAAAAATTTAATGTTCCAAATCTTAAGGGTGCTATTTTTTAGCACTCACGTAAATTATTTGATCTTAGATTGAAACGAAACAGCTAACTGGCAAATTTACCATCACCAGATTAAAACTTACATACATAAAAATTATTAAAGAGGAATCTGTCTATTGTAATGGAGTCTATTGTCCTATGGATTGGAATGCTGTCTGTTGTAAATTAAAGGAAAGGTCTTATTGCTACCCTCAGGATTACAAGATGAAATACATACTTCATTTCACTTAGATGAAAGTTTCGTTTAGTAAAAGGATTTCCAATAGCTATTTGGAATGCTAATATTGATATCAATGGGTAAATTTAAAGCATCGTTAGATAAGAAATCAGCTCTTTCATTTCCACATCGATTACTAGTTTGTCACTGCTGGCAATACTGTTCAAAAGTTGAACCGAAAATGGAGAATCAGAACGTATAAGGCACCTTGAAGTTGCTGTCCCATTATTCTTGATACACGTGACAACAAGATAAATTCCAAGACGTTCTGCTTGACAAACTCTGCATTCATTTCGAATATGGTGCTAAAAATAGCAAACTCAGATTGGTCTTCAAAACGAGCAAATGCTAGACCAACCTTATTGTGCATTTTCTGCCATTTGTAAATTAAACATTGCCATTTAAAATTATGAAAACACTTTTCAATATTCTCTCCATAATAACAGAAATTTATGAGCTCTAAAGTAGGTGTATTAAGAATACCGCGAAAGGGGGCATTTCAATTTATTTCCAGTCTTCCAAAGTATCAGTTGCCAATGCCTGGAAAATAGTATTCTTATATTAAATTTCGAAATAGATAGGAGGAACTCCTGCAAGAATGAAAGTAGACTCAGTATTCCTTAATCACTCATAATGCTAAAAAATAATTCTTAATTGAACTTTTCTATGATTTCTTTTGTTAAACAGCTTTGCAAGAATATGTCCCCAAGCACGAGAGCCGTACGAAACGGAAGGCACAATACACTGCTATCAGTTACTTGACTTCATAGCTTACTTCAAGGCAATTAGGTGAAAGCCTTTTTCACATTTCAGAGAAAGGAATTCGATGTGCTTTTTCCATGTTAAATTTTAGTCAGGTATCACACACCAAGACACTTTCTGTGAATTCCAGGGAAGAATCCTAGAGTATCGGAAGAGCAATATGTTTTTCATCAAAATTTCTGGAAACAATCACATCTTACTTATGAAGGATTGCAAGTGAGTTCATGAGAGATCGCCCAGTTGGATACAAAATTAAGTACTGCATGTACTCGCAAAGGAAGTTTAGCCAAAACATGGGAATTTTCGGTGTGATGATGAAGTAATTATAGTAAAAAGCTTCAAGAAAAACAGGGACATCTAATGGTCTTGATGATTCTGATGATAATTGCACGAGGGAAGACTGATATAACGATGACGAAGACAATGAATGATAACAGTGACAGCAGATGATATAGACATCATTTCCAGCAACACTGAATGATTAGAGGCCTAGGGAGTATAATAGGACAACAACAACAGCGGACAAAATTCAAGATGCAGAGAAGTAGAAATTAAGATATCTTGTTAGATATTGCAATGTTAATGTTACTCTTTATTCTTATAAGAATGTATGTTTCTTTTAAATAAATAATACTATATCACCACTTCTCACATTGACAAATGCTTCGCATTATCTCTTTTTAGCTGTTTTAGGGAAACTATTGGACAGCACGCAGCCTAATGAGCTAGTGGTCAACAGGCTGACATTTGCTAAATAAAAAATAAGCAATAATTACAGGTAGTTTATCCATGAACACTTTACTATATTTGTAACGCATTTTCTCCAACCGCACGATTCAGACAGCAAATTATTCGCATAATTTTCCCCTCTCGATTTTCGCATAATAAAATTAGTAGAAAAAGGGTGGGAGACGCTCGACTAAATACTGTATTTCTTTCATAAACTTGGGCCATGCTTCATCGAGAACACATTTTTTGAATTCCAGTGATTAGTTATTAGGTAACTAAGAGAAATCGATTAAGAAATTCTGCACTTTATCTGTAAGTTTGCACTAATAATGAAATCTACCATTTTACCTTGTAAGTTTCTAAATTTTCTACTGTGCACTGTAAAACAGCATCTCTGCCAATGGGGACAGTAACATTAGGGATGACATCAGCAAATTCCGGCTGTGGAGAAACTACTGTAAAAGGAAAAAATACATATTAGAATTTTTTTATCTGTGCATTACATATTAATAACATAGTATAGTATGTACATTGTCATTTAATTTTCTTGATATTAAAATTCTAAATTTTGATTGCAATGTTTTTTGATAAGGAAGCTAGCAATTTTTTATTCTTTTCTTTTTAAAAATAATATAATAATGAGAATATGAACTGCCAAACCGAATATTTTATATTTGGTTTGGACAGATGAAAAAATGACAATAGCATTAAAATTTATACAGCGAAGTTATACGTAGTATAGATACTCATTTTTTCATGTGTCCTATACACAGCAAGGAACAGTTTGTGCGATGGAGTGATGTATAGAATGATTCGACTTCCTGTATTAGACATGTATATTTAAAAGTGTGGTAAATGAAAATGATGTTCGGCTCCAAAATTCTATAGTAATGAGTGAATAACATGTTATCAAACTCCTTTCTATCAGCCATACGCAATATGTGAATGAGATTTGTAGGAGAATGGTTTCAACATATACAGAAATTGCACATAAGAGGTATACACTTATATTCAAAGTGTTGGAAATTCTTTTGATAATGCAAGATCCATCCAGTGAAATATAATTGTTACGGAATGAACTGGATGAATGCGTTAAGTTAAAGTAGACTGTAAGTTCATTGCTCTCTATCTAATTGTAGGAACCTTTTTCGTTCCATCACATCCGCTAAAGCGAAGACTACATTTGAAAATGGATGGATATTCCGTTTCCACAATAAATTTTTAGTACCATCGTCTTCTTTTCATACGAGGAGAGAAAATGTATGTCTACTATTAACCTTCACGTGAGACACCACAAAATTAATTTAAAAAAAAAAAAATTGTTGTTGGAAAACTTAGGGGGTGAGCAATCGTACGCCTTAAAAGTCTTAGGATCTTCGAATATGTTACTGTTACAAGAATTTGGATAACGTATTTATTTTAAAAGCAATAACACCCATTTTGTACAGCTAACTACATAATATAGCTGCTTTAGGAACTAATAACGGAAAATTTTGACTTGCCACAAATATTTTTATAACTTTATCTGCTTTGTGACATAATTTTTATGTGTTCTCATGATGTTTCCATCTTAAGCGTAAACTTTAAACATTCTGTTATATAATTTAACTAACTTTACAGGCGGCTTCGATCGCGTTGTTTATCCATAAGTTTCAACTCCGCATGAATTTAAAAAATACACTCCGCGTAAAATTTCAAAATAAAAGAACATTCGAGCGCTTTAAAATGATAAAACAAAATTTTTTATCGTACACAGTAAAATGTAAAGAATATAAAATGTAAATGCAATTTTTCAAGCAACAATAACAGAAATATATAACACGAATGAATAGAGCTTTAAAAAAATACGAAGAAAAACATTAAATGTACTCCAAAAGTCAAAATGTTGATAATAGTTCAAGTAAGTTAATTGAAATTATTATTTTAAAATGATTTTCCACGTGTAAATCCTGAAACTTTGACCTTTTCCGCAAACCCAACGGTCGACCGGATACATCTCCCTCCCCGTTGCTTCGAATCGCAGCCTGTCAACAAAGAGTTAGTACAGCAAGCGGAGTATTGTTTCCTGTGATTAAGCTGGAAATAATAAGCGCAAAAACAGTTTATTAATGAAGGAGCGTATTTAAACACGAAGTTACTTACCGAGTCAGAGAGAATCAGAGTTTTCTGATTTACGCGCGTCTGCTTTTTGGCCACTCTCAAGCTTTTTACGCTCGGCCGTAACTTGCTAACTTCGTAGTCAATAGTTAAGGGGACCCAACTCGTTTGAGAGCCTTGTAGCTTCGGCTATACTCTTTAGTTAATCTTAGTTTTTAGTAGTTTTAGTCTTTTTAGTTCAAGTCCATGTGCGGCTTTGCTTGTACCCTCCAGGCGGAGTTTTTGTTAAGCTTACTGAAATAACAAAGGGTTAGTTACCCTTCTATCTTGTTGTTTCTTGTCACCGAACACAAGCGATTATTCGCTTATCAGTTCTTAGATTTTTCACTTCCAACATTAACATAGAATTCCAAAGTGAGGTACTCTACAATACTATAACACGATAGATGAGTAATTCCTATTATTATTAGTAATTAAAATTAAGCGATATTCATCGAACAATTTAAACTAAGCTTACAGAAATATTAAGTTTCCCCCACTCCGACAAATTGTTTTTGTCTTCATGAACATGTTTTTGCTTCTTCAATTTAAGCGATTCAGAATGTTTTTTAACAAGAAGTGTCCATATGGGTCTCCTCAGGAATGTATAAAAGTTCCTAAGGAAACAATGCAAGTCTAAGACTGGATATTGCCAAATTTTAAAACAAACGGTTTCACTTACATGACTTTTCTTTTTAATACTAAAGCATTAGTTCTTAGAAATCATATATAAAACTGCAGTGCTTTTATAACTATCCCTAAGAAATATGACAGAGAAATATTAAAAATATGCGAGTTTCGTGATGAACTAAAATTTCTTATTCGAGTTTAATTTCAATGAGGATGAATATGCATAAAATGCTCCTTCGTATGCTACTGAAAATTAAAAAAACGAAAAATGTGAAAATGTGCATTTAGAATAACCCCTGGGAAAACATATTTAATTGTGACATAGTAAGTACCCTGGGATGGGTACAGTGGGTTGAATTGTTTGCATTTTGCATTTCCTTTTCAAAGGAGATTTTCATTTATTTTTTATCCGTTCTCTGAGGGCATTAAAAAAGTAGTTCTTTTTAAGGTTTGAAAAGTTTAATTTTAAGGAGCCACATAAGTTTCTCATCACTTAGATTACGCTTAATTATGTTAGAAAATTAATTTATTGGTGCGTTAAAAATTTTTCAAATGACATACAGGTCTGCATTTTAAAATGAAAAAAATCATAATCAAATATTAAATTATAAGGCATTTTCTCCCTCCTTCCACCATGCCTTCTCTGTGTAACCGTATCATACCCGGCGTGTGTTCGAGATGTCCAGGTACGAATCCCGGCTAGGACATCGCACATTTTTCAACTCTTCCTTAGGAAGGTACTGTCTGTCTACGAGAAGAACAGTTCGAGCCACAGTGTCTGGCGTTTGGCAGTTGTTATAGCAACAGGGCTAGTATATTTCAATAGGGAGAACCAAGGGTCGCTTTATCGTTATTTTGTTTTTGGCGACTGTTTGCTGAGGGGAAAAGAGTTTATCATTCGTCTTCAAGACACCCCAACGGAAAATGAGTCAAGGCTCGTTTCTACGGCAACAGACAGCTTCAGACTAACTAGTGAGAGCTTTTCCTGTGATAGACACACCATAGATCTGAATAAGTATTTTTCAAAGTCAGAATGGCACAGCATCGAAAGCTTTCAGCAAAGATCCTCAAATCCCACGAATTTTGGAAAGGAATTGAGATTCAAAACCTCAGATCTTGGCAATAGTTTTTGCCTCTCCCCCTCATTATTTAAGTCTTCCTAACTCTTAACTCAGGAAACAGCTAAGTATTTGAAATAAGACAATTTGGAAAGGTAATTCTTTTTTACGTTTTAAGTCTAATTAAAGCGTTTTATTAAGTTAACGTTAAATAAGAACCAGGGTTTTAAAGTTTTAATTATGTTCCTCATTTCCTAATTTACTAAATTTCATCTTCTAGATAACACATGTTTATTTAAGAAATGTATAGTTAAAGGTTTTATTATATACAAAATTCGAGATTTGATAAATTCAGGTATTTCAAGAAATATTTAGGGTTCGGATTTGGATTTAGAATTCTTCTGTAAGTTTATATTTTTTTATCGCTTACAGTCTTACAGTTTATATATAGCAAAATATACTTTCATCTGTTAAAGATACTATTTAGTAACAACAGTTAGCGTAAAGCAGATAAATATGCAATATTATAATTTTGAACTTTAAACAGAACCAGCTTCAGCTGCAGGAGTTAAAATAAAATTACAGCGCAGAAATTCATCGACATTATGACGCCTGCAGCTGAAAAAAAAGGCCCTATTTCACATATAAAACTGGTATTTCTAATTTATATTCATTACACTGATTTTTTTGCTAATTAGGATCTCTAATGTATGTTCCACAGCCTGTTTATTTTTATTATAAGGTTTACACATGTTTTAAGTCTGTAGCGCGATTATTTCAATTATTATTATTATTATTATTATTATTATTATTATTATTATTATTATTATTATTATTATTATTATTATTATTATTATTATTATTATTATTATTATATTATATCTGGGTCAACATATATGTGGTAAAGATAAGCACGCAAACCGCACAAGCATACACCCTAACAAATTTTTTCTAAGTCTCATATGAACTGCAAATTATAATAGTATAATATACATTTATAAAATTTTCTTATCTTTTTTGTTTCGATTTTTGCTTTTAATCCAATAAAACTACGTACTATTACACTGTATCAGTTATTCATCTCAAACTCATTATTTCATTTATTCATTCCTATAACTGCTCCCTTTTACGAAAATAAAGTACTTCAATTGCGAAAAATTTCGGATATCATATTTCAATGGAATAACCATTTTGACCGTTCCCAGATCCATAATTTTATTGATAACTCCAGGTACGGACAGAATAAGAGACACTTTTTTCTAAAACTGGTTGTGAAATGCATTTAAAATGGGTTCAAAAGGTGTTTTTTCGTGACGTCCATACGTATGTCTGTATGTATAAAACGTAATTCAAAACGATTAGCCACAGAAGGTTTAAATGTTGTATATGGAACTGTTAGTTGCGCAACGTCATTTTTTATTGCAATCGTCAGTACTAAACGTACATATATACAGGGTGTCCCGTTAATGTAGCGACAAACGTGTGGGGCAGGTAGGGCACATCATAAGTATTAAGAATAAAGATAAGAACTCATGCCAGTTGAGATAGAAGATGAATCTATCAGTTGGGATAGAAGATGGAAATGAATAATTGGAAACACTTATTGGACATGAATACATACAGTGTCT